GACACTTCTTTACCCTTGTTCTTGTTTTGTACATAGTTGAGAGAGAGGATAGTCTAGCTGATGGAGACCATATACTTTAACATGGATCGGGTGGAAGGGATCTACATGGAGGTTTCCTGGCAAGGATCCCTCTTGAAAGGTTCTTTTTAATTTAATGGACATTATATATTTTTAAATTGAGCACCCACTTGATAGAGACATTGATGCATATCGAATATTATAATCCAAATGACACATAATAGTAAGAATGGTGTCTCATGTTTTTGTTCTTAGAAGATTGAAAATAGACTAGGGAAAATGACCAAAACCACCCCGAAAGGGATTGATATTTTTACCAATGTACAATTATGTCCACAAGCACATATGCTATGTTCTTTCGGGAGCATTGTTTACTTCTACTACCTCGGTATAAAGACCTACTTAGGGAAGTTTTTTTAATATGAAATTTTGGGAATCACTTAAAAAGTACTAGATGATTATTCTCAAAAATAGCATTTGAAATTTGAGTTTTCTAACATTTAGATCTCACTATCTAAAAATTAGATGGTTACTATTCAATCTTGAGACATTATTTTTTTCAAATGCATAGATGGCACAATTAGGATTTTTTGTAATTGAAATTAATTTATAGGTTGTAGAAGTTACATCCCCAGAATTTGGGGTCCTAAACTGAATTCCGAGTGGGGTTTGACCTGAGGGAGTAAATTAACATTCTACTCCTGAGGGACTATTTGGCTTCGATAATTATCTACCTGCAGTAAAGGAAGCAATTACAATTGCTATTACATGAAAGAGAGAGATCCAAAAGGCCCATGTCGGCATAGTGAAAAATGGTCAACTTCTGGATCATTTTCTCCCAAAAATAAAAAGAGAAGCATTGGGGCAAACTATAGTTACAAGTCTCATTCTTGAATTTTGGGTGAGATAATTCCTCATGACATTATCTAAATTTTTAACTCTCTTCAAATTGCGCAAAAGAAAATTAACAATTAAGAAATGAAACAGCTAAAAGGAAAGGGAAAATTTTTGAAGTATTATGTAAGTCTAAAAATGTATTTCTTGATAGGCATTAAACTTGTAATTTGTAAATGCATTATGCTCGTTAAATTTAAGCATCAGTTGTTTTTCTTTTTCAAAGGAACCAGAGAAAAAGATAGAATGAAATCTCAAGAAACTAAGAAAGATACCCCAAAAACTATTTCCTGGTATTTCTAATAAATTGAGATTTTTTTTATTCTAATATGACCATGGGTGGAATAGCCATATTTGGATCTTTCAATGTCACCTTCACAAATCAGATCAACCCAGCCAAACAGAGAAAGTTAAATATTTAAAAGTTACCCATAATCTCTCTAATAACGTTCACATATAGTGAGTGACTTAGCCTTCTTCTTGGCCGGCTGATGCCAACTTCAAAGTGTAATCCTATAGTTGCCAATTGTTCACTGGTTCAGCTAATAGAATGCTCCTGCAAATTTTGGGCTCGAGGCTCTTCTAACCATGAATTCTCTCTGGTTTTTCATCTGGGTTCTCAACCTTGGAGCTCTGAGACTAATATCAGCTCAGCAATCATATGATGAGACCGGTTGCGATGATGTTCCCTTTGAACCTGGTTCAAAATACACCTGCAACACTCTCATGAAATCATGCCAAACCTATGCAGTTTACAGGGCTCAACAGAATTACCAAACAATCTCGGCAATCAGTCTTCTCTTTGATCTTAATGAGAACGACATTCTGCAGCTCAATAATATCACAGAACCGCTTCAAACTCTGGATGCAGGGAGAGAAGTTCTGATTCCGGTGATTTGTTCATGTTCAGGTCAGTATTATCAATCAAACTTCAGTTACATAACATCTGATGGAGATGATTATTCTCATATAGCCTGTGGCATTTTCGAAGGTTTATCCAAGACTCTGTCACTTCTAGAGCAGAACCCATATCTACCTCACAAACTTAGAGGAGGTCTAAGGTTCAGTGTTCCCATAAAATGTGCATGCCCCAATAATCAGACAATTAGTAATGGCTATGAGTTCCTCATCACATATCCAATCATAACAAATGATAAACTTACTGGAATTAGCATCAAGTTCAATGTCCCAGAGCAAGAAATAGTGGGTGTCAACAATATGAAGCCTTATCCTACTATCTACCCTCTAACAACTCTCATAGTTCCTGCAAAAAAAATCCCAGTTTTGAATCTAACAGTCACGGCAACCCCTGAAGATTCAAATATTGAACCAGGCTCTGTCATCCCCAAGCTCGGTAAGGTGCAAAAGAACAAAAGGAATTCAAAAGCTTGGAGTTGTGGTTTAATACTAGGAGTGGGTGTTTCATTTGCTTTTTTGGCTTTTATCTTCATCGGATCTCTTTTAGTCATCATAAACCGTAGGAAGAAGGTGAAAAAGTTGTTGTCTTCCTCTGAGAGAAGCTCCCAAGTTTCGAGCTTATCACCTGATTTATTAGTGGGCATGTTTACAGTAAAGCACCCATTGTTGAGTTATCGTCTTGAGGAGCTGAAGGTTGCAACAGGGGATTTTGGGGAAGCTTCTAAGATTGGAAAATTAGTTTACAGAGGAAGGTTAAACAGTTCGAAAGTGGCCATAAAACAAATGGGTTCAAGAGAAGTGCGGAGTGTGATCAACATATTGACAAAGATAAACCATGTAAACCTTGCCAGACTGCTAGGGGTTTGCTATGGAAGAAGTGAACAGAATCCTACATTTCTCGTGTTTGAATTTGCAGAGAGAGGCTCATTGAGAGACCAGCTCTCAAAATACTCGAGAAGTTTTGAGCTCGAATGGGGTAAGCGAATGAGAATAGCTTTTGATATGGCAATTGGTCTTCATTATATTCATCATTGTATAACCCCATCTTACGTTCACATGGATATTAGCAGTGAAAATGTGTTGGTAACTTCAGATTGGAGAGCCAAGATAGCCAATTTCAAGCATGCAAAGAGAGTAACTGCCACTGAGGATGGTTATTCTTCTACTGAGATTGGTGGACTTGTAATGTGTAGAAAAGGTTGCATGGCTCCTGAGCTTCTTCGAGGGATGGTTTCTCCAAAGGTTGATGTATTTGCATTTGGGGTGGTTTTGCTTGAGCTCATCTCAGCAAGGGAAACTACAGGCGAGATGTTGCTTAGAGATTCAGTTGGGTTTTTAAGGGGGGGAGAATCTGAAGAAGGCTGCACTGAAAAATTGAGGAGTTTCATGGATCCTTCTCTGAAAGGGGACTATCCAGTGAATGAAGCCCTGTTCTTGGCTTTGTTAGCTAAGGCTTGCACCGAAGAAGATCCTTTTCATAGACCCACCATGAATGACATTGTGAAGGCACTTTCAAAAATGATATGAAACCATGCTTCAATGATGCCAGTGACTCTGAATTCATGGACATTTATGTATGCATATATTGTCTAAAATGACAAGAAATCATGAAGTTATCTTTTTAATGCACGATTGATGATGGTTACAAATGTTTACCGTAAATTTAAAAACAGTTGTAAAATAATCTGCATTTGGAACCAAGACATTAAAAACAACAAAACAAATTTGGTCAATACAAGAATATCAGAATCATAAAGAATACTAGGACAGACAAGTTCATGACTCAGTTCACTTATTCCACTCCACTATATTATGAATCCTATTACTTGCTCATCTGATCAGTCAATGCATCGCTGTTATTCATTATTTTCATTGTATTTTGTATGATAAGTGATATCCTTAACAAAAAAGATTCCTTTCAATATTTCCCTACTGCTCAAATGTCTCTTTTGCCCATTTAACCAGCTGGGTTATGAAAATGAAATCTTTGTTCATGTTATTAATAAGGTTCTACTGGCCATCTCAATTGTCCTCACTTGAGAAAGGTTCACGCCTTCACGGTATTGCCACTAAAATTACTAATAAGTTGGTGAATGCAAACCAAATAGATCTTCATATGGTATAGTGGTGTCTCCATTTGAATCCCTTTTAAAGTATTTTTAAGGGAAGAAACACTCCTCAAAATGAGTTGTTAAAATTTCATTCCCTTCTTTTTTTTTGCCATGCCATCAGATTTATTAACCAAGATGTGAAAGTAGATGTTACCCAAATAACAAACTTGTGATGGTCATAACATGTCTACAATCTTTTGTCCTCGTGAATATAGGGTTTCTTTTTTATTTTTCGTGTATGATTCTCAGGCATCAGATACCCATGAAAAAAAAGAAGATATATTACACAATCATTCCTGCTGATTTAACAGCTTTTCCAACGGTGGATGATTTTCATTTTAGAATTCTGCATCCTCCGTTGGCTTAAAGGGCTACGGGAAGGAAGGGAAGTACCAAGTACGTCAATAAAACCAAGGTTTCACTTGACTTACATCAACGCTTAACTTTACACTAACACAAGATGCTGCATAAGAAACTGCGACCTAACTGCAGATCAGGACAACCAATGCACAGCCATGAGCTGCTACTTCCATTGACAGCATCTGATCTAAGATCGATGATCCCAAGTTCTTTTCCACTCCAAACTTCAGAAGTCTTACAATAATAATTTCGCAAGATAGTTGGAGGCATCACCTTTGCTAAATCCTTTATATTTTCAGATATTACCGTGGATTTATCATTCAAGTTGAAGAATGATAAATATATTTCCCCTGTAGATATGGAAAGAGACAGATAATTGAAGTGAAAAATATGTGAAAAATATATTCATAATACATGTGGAGTAACCTTCACTAATAGTTGGCTTGAATTCATGCATTGAATGTTGGTTCAGTAAAGGATCACGTGAACTAATAAGAATCAACATATGCATTATGTATAAATTAGAGACTGTAAATACCTTTTCTTCCAGTTGCAATCCATGATACTGATGTCTCCACCAGTCTTTATGCTGTTTAAATAAGAACACAACAGGAAAATTTCAGCCTAGGAGGAAATTTATGTAAAGCAACAAAAAAAAAAAAAATTATTAGAAATTAATCTTTTTGACGGCATATTGTTGCACAAAGGCTGGAATAGCTATTCACTAGGGTGCCACTATGGCTTCACTCCCACATCTGTTAGAACTAAAAATATTAGTTTTCTTTCCAAGAAAGATTGATATCTAGAAATTTTTTCGAACATAAACCTGTAAAGCACGTAGAAAATCAAAAGAACAAGAATTAGCAAAGATTTAGCAGATAATTACATCCTGCTCAGTTATAAATCTTAGCTCTGCTATTTGGCATCTAGTGTTGAGATTACCAATATCTTTCTGGTTAAGAATTGAGTTACACATAAGTAACTAGAAGAGAATAATTTTTTGGAGCTCAGCTTTAAGCAGACTACTCTTCTGACATCGATGCTCAGCTTTTCTATACCATTTGCAAGGGGAAGATATGTTCTTTAAATTCCACAAACTGGGTTTTCCCATAGTAGAAAAATCCAAACAGTGGTCTTCTGTTTTAGATGGTAACAAGTGAAACTTCCTTGATAATGCTTCTCGTAAACATTCTCCCGATTCCTACAAAGCCAATGCCAACTAATTGCATCAATTGCTTCATAGATGCTATTAAACTGCCAAAACTGTATATAAAATATAGCACTTGTTAGTTACACTTGAATTTCTTTTTTTTTTTTAAGTAATTGGTGTACCGAGGATTCATCAGGGAGTTCATTTACAATGTGGGTAATTACTACCTGTTGTACATACATAAATGGGACTTCCATTTTCCTCTTTTACAGCAAATTTGATCCATGTCTCCATTCTGAGTTCTTATAGAACAACCACCTGCTTTACGCTTCTTGCAACTGATAATACCTAGTTTTCCTCTATTAGACCTTTTTTGAGCCAAAGATCTTTGGATGTGATGCTTAGCGGCTCTTGTTACACTAATGAATGGAAACTGGAAACATTAAAATAGTTGAAAAAGAAAATAAATCAGCGGCACTCTGGTAATAAAGTAAGAAGTGTTCCACTCAGTGTTTACAAACTAGGAGGGGACTCAGCATGTCCAAATCACTCTTAGTGCAAGTGAATGGGCTTATAACTCCCTGAAAATTCAGGTAAATATGAAAAACAAAAATAATAAAATAAGGAAAAATGTAGAAAATCAATGAAAAAACTAGGGAAGTTCAGCAAAAGGGAAAAGTTTATATAAATCCTAGGCTCTAAACAATCAAATTGGTGCGTACCTCAAAACTTTCACAAGGAGAGGCTGTTTTGATGCCCAAATACCATCAAATTGATCATCTTGACATCAAGATGCATAGACATGAGAAAAAAATGGATTTTAAATTTTGAAAATAGTGCATCTTGTAATGCATTTCTGGCCCGTAAAATTTTCAAGGTTTTATAAATCTGCTCGATCTACACTATCTTTGAAGCTTTAAATTTTATAAATAAAGATGAAAATGTAAATTAAGGTTATCACAAAACTTTCCGGTATTGAAATCATATTTCTCGACACTATTTGAAGGTGGGCTCTAATTTGATTGTTTAGAGCCTTGGCTCTATACAAACTGCACCCTTAGCAAAATGCACCTCTCTTTTTAACTATTTAACATTTTGCTCATTTTCTACTATTCCAAGTCAAAATTATGTCTATTTTGTAGGCATTTTGAAATTAAATCAAAACATATAGGTAAAATATTATAGAGTTCATATCTTAGGTGTATTTTCCTAAACTTTCGTGGAAAACTATATAAAAAATGAGACGTTCTTTTTTTCATCATTTTTATAGCCGAACAAAACATCAAGATTTTGCAAATCCAGTTTTTTGTTGAATCTAAGCTTTTGGGTTTGACAGAGAGCACAAAAGTAGACCTATCAACAACTTTTCAAGGTGAATTGAGCTAGGGTTCCATAAAACTAGCAAGGAAGGAACTTCAGCCAATTCCTGGTTTGAAAATGATATTCTAGCAAATCTGAGAATTTCAAGGTTCATTTGCTTTTGTTGAATCTAATCGATGAGGATAGGAAGATATGCTTAGAGGTGAATTCTGATAGAGATTGGAGTAAGAAGAAAGAAGAACAAGCAACAATGTGGTCGAGTTTCTGGCCTGCCCAAAGTCACCAGCATCCGAATCTTGCCTGAAGCAACTCGTCCAAGTAGTGCTACAATAAGGGCCTTAATGAGTTGGGGCCCTCCAGACTTTGTAGGCTGCGAGACTGAGTGACTTCAGGGAGTCTGACTCCAAGTTGGACTCTGATGATACAGGTTATGTTGGGTGAAGAGAAATTTTTTCAAATTTGAAGACGAGAGAAAATAATAACCATGTCACCTCCATATTGTTTTTGCAGAAATAATTTATTTCCAGTAGAGTGGAATTTGTGATGAGGTTGAGAGTTGCACTGTCAATTTTCCTTAGTTCCCTCCAAACATTAAAGGAGATTTGAGTATGGAACATGGTGTCATCTGCAAAAGGAAAACACCAATACCTAAGTTTCATTGTTAAGTTTGTGAAAGGGCATATCAAATGATCCATCAATAATTTAATGAAATGTACACCCCTGGGTTTTCTGTTCATCAAATGTTAAATTCGAGTTTCTATATGGATCTATATCTATATCTAACAACAGAGTAAATGTCAGTATCAGTTGAACATAAGGGTTTGACATTTTAATGAGACATGAAGGTGAAGCACCATTTTTATTAGTTTTCATGTTGTAATATTCTGAGAACTCTCAAAGTGTATCAGGGACTGCAACAGGGAAGCATAGAAAGACAAGTTATATGTCTTTAAAACAGTTAGATTACTATACAGGGAAAGATAAATAATAAGTCTCTCAAAATGCTTACCAGATTTGCTTATCCAACCTAGTGGTAGCATGTCCATGTCTGGCCATGATTTTCCAAGGAACCCCCCTGCTCCAATCAAGCCAGATTTAGCAAAGTCCCTGAGAGAACATTGATGAACAGAAGGAAGCCGATAAAATTTATGCATTATCACAAGTAAAACCATTTATTACTAGTCTGAACTTCCAATAAATAAATGTCATACCTTTTAAAATCGAAATGCCCTTGCACGTCCTCCCATTCATCCCAGTTATCCACAGTTATCCTGTACATTTTTATTAGCTTGTTGATAGCGGCAGCCATTTCGGGGTCTGCAGATTTGCCAGGAAAGATCGACTGCAAGATGGGGCGGTTTAGCTCTTTCAATATCTACAGAAATCAATTAATTGAGCTAATATCCACCTAAAGGAATTATTTTATCTCTCTCTACAATTACAAAGAAGTTTCTATTTTATAAGCTTGGAAATCTGTAATGAATCAGATACAGAAATAACTCAAATATTCATTATTCAGGAGATTCATTGCATGTTAAAATCAAATACATTGTCAAATCTAAACTTCCATGCTGATGATTGATACTCTATCAGACAATGTTGAGGGAAAGGATTATAAGCTTGGAAATCTGTAATGAATCAGATACATAAATGATAAATAACTCAAACATTCATTATACAGGAGCTTCATTGTGATTCCCCATTTGAAAATCAAATACATCATCAAAGCTGATGATTGAAACTCTATCAGACAATGTTGAGGAAAAGGAAAACATATAAACTGAAGTTAAGTAAACTAAAAATTAACTAAACATTCGTCCTACCTCTGAAACAAAGCTTATCTCACTCGTTTCCAAAATCGTCACCAAAGACACAGTCATGCTTCACTGATAACGAAAAACAAAATAATCAAAGTTTAAGCCTCATCAAAAGCAGAGAAAGAATACACATGCGCATTTGTTGACAATAACGAAATGTACCATTGTTGAATCAGCCCAATAAGCTTGATTCCCAAAAAACAAAAGCATAATAGATTTTATTTGTCTCTTTCTAGGATAAAAGTGTCGATTCCGTTACAGAGCAGTATGCAACACAAAAAAGATGCATGTGCGGTTGTTCAATTCTTACCTTCTCCTTTTTTTTTGGTATTCTTTTTCTTTATCCATTCCCTTCCATCCGATGATGCAAATATAAAAAAACCATTCACAATATCATATTAATCATCAGGGTTATAATCTACCAACCTGCTAGTTCTTTTTACGAGGCACGAGCATGAGAATTTATCTTAGAAGTGAGGGAGCTACTGAAATTTTGTGAAACCATCACAAGCTTCTTTGTACAAAGAACAAACAACCCTTTATGGGTTATATCAGATGACCTGGAAAGGAATATTTTATGTTAGCAATAGAAGCCCAAACTCATGGCATTGTGGATCTCATAGCAGTAAAAACACTTGGGATTTCTCATAAGTCCATGACTCATTTCGAAACATAGACCCGTGATATTTTATCTTCTTACTGATCTACCCGAGGGGAAATAAAATAATTCTAATAGGATTAAAATTTATTATATAGTAGAAAGTGATTCCTAATCATCTAGTTAGGATCGATCTAAACCAGTTTATATAATCTCCCGCTCTTCGAGGATGCCCTTAGCACAGAGGAACATGTATTAAGGTGTATGTGCGACTCTTTCAGCTCATGAGCTAGAACAAACTAGATGAATTAGATGATTTTTCCAGTAGCAATGAATAGAATGGAAGAATTCCATTCACTTTCAAGAAAGATCTATCATATACCCTTATGGCTTTTGGAATTTATGGTTTCCATTGATGCAAATCCAATCACCTCGATGTGAGATGAAAAACAATTCCACATCGGTAGCAAACAAGTATCTATTAAGGGGGGGAAATGGTATTAAAAGAAAAACAGAAAGGTTATGCACTTAACTATTACAAAAGTAGACTAAGAGGGTCAGCTACCTAGCCAAACTTCATAATTAAATGTCGTCATTGTATGGATATATTTTATTGCGAAAAGACCTATTATTGGATTGTTGATGAGTGGAGCCGAACCGTACCGTATGAATTGTACACATTGATTAAATGGTTGGGGGGGGGGGGGCGCTTCAGTGTATAGAAAGGGCCTCACCATTTCGGGAATTAATCATAGAAACGAAGGAACCTACAATATTATTTTAGTTAATTTGTCGTTATTTACTATTCGAGTTGAAATGATTGGATAACAAATGGTGTGGTTGGGAAGGTCATAGTAACAGACGTCTAACAAAAATTTGTTATTTGCATCGACCTTTCGAGGGGCCCATTCAAAACTTACTTGAACTACTACTCAATAGAACGTGAGGCTTTGGTTTCCATTTATCGGAATAGAGGTAGGCAAAAGAATGACTTTTGTCGTTTGTGGATCACTAGAATAAATGCAGCAACTCATAAGAATGATGTTTCTTATAGTCGATTAATAACAATATGTACAAGAGGCAGTTGCTTCTTAATCATAAAATACCTGTACAAATAGTCAGATACAATCTAAATTCCCTTTACATGATTTCCAATGTAATTATTAAATAAAGACATTAGGAAGAATCCATTCGCCGAAATCAGAATAAAATGATTCCAATAGAATCTTCCCCACTGAATTTCCAAAAAAAAAGAAAAAAAGACGAGCCCAATAACAAGCTACCATGTGTACAACAAAGAGAGAGAGAGGATGCTCCCTCTCATTTCTCTTACTCTCCCTTCAACTCTCTCTCTCTCTCGTGCTTTGTCCTCTCTCTAAACAAGCTCTTAGCTCCACATCTCTATCAACAGCATCGAGTGCACTTTTTCCTCTATCTCTCTCTCTAAACTCGCCCTCCTCTCGGAACTAGTCTCGCCATGTACCTCTCTTTGATGTCTTGCTTCCTCTCTGAGAACCAGGCTTTATCTCTCTCTCCCCCTCCTACTTTGCAATTTCCATTAATGACTTCTACTTTGCATTATCCATTAATGGCTTCTACGATCTCTTCTTGTCTTTTTGGTGCTTTCCTAGACCCGAAAGACTGATTGATCATATAGATGAGCTCGAATAGTAGAATGGCTCTATGCGCATGATATAGATGCAATTTTCAGATACTATGAATGTTTGGCTTGACATTGATGTGTTGCAAGTCCAGAAGTATTTCTAAAGTCATTTTATAATGGTATGTTTGGTTCACACGTAAGTATTTTCCATAAATATTTACATATGTAAATACTCTACATATGTAAATATTTACATATGTATTCATTTTACTATGTTAGGTAGCACATTTAAAAACCATTGTGTAAACAGTTTCATATGTTTGGTAGCACTTGGTTGATATGAAAATATTTATACAAAATCTTAACTAAGACTTGATTTAATTTATCACTATTTAATCATCTCTCACTCCCTCCCTATTAAACACACTCTCTCTGAAACACAAAAAAATTAATGAAATTTACGACTATTCAAAAATCACTCTATCTTCTCCGGACTCTCTCTCTCACTCACTTTATATTCCCCTAAATCGATTGGGCAATTTGTCGTATCATGCTTCAAAAAGATCCAAATTACCTCATTATTCTCAACATTAATCTCTCTCTCATTTTTTTTTAATAGAATGGGACCATAAATGCTACCATTTGAGAATAATATTCATTACAATAATTAAAATAATTAAACCGCATAATAATATCTCACATCCCAATACCAAGACTGTATTGATTAGAGTGAACAGTCCTCAACAAATAACACATGGAGAGCTAGTAGAGAGAGGAGAGATTTGCAAATATTTCAATCACAACTTGTTAAAAAAACAAAAAACAAATGCACTACCACTACATAACCATGAAGTTGTCAATTCTTTCAAAAACATAATATAGATAACCTACAAACTACCAAAACCTAGTGCCTATTTTGAAGCGTTCCCACATTCGATTAGCAATATCTTTACGTAATCTTGGAGCGTTATCAGTATCATCCGCATTTGAAGTATTTCTCCTACACCTCCAACGAGCATTTCGTAATGCTCTTCTCTCAAACATTAACTCCTCATCGGTAACAACCTTTCTTGTCATCCTGATAGAGTTACGTAATATACAAGTTGCGATGACAATCTTGACCTGAGTACTAAATGGCTACCGGAACAGCTTTTATAAGATGGGGAACTGTGTCTTCCTTAGACCAAAATGTGTACTCTACAACATTTCATATTGAAAAGTTGTAAATTAAATAGTTCATCTTTTGTGATCAAATTACTATCCCTCGAAAGTCTTGAAGGTGGTAGTGTGCTTTACGGTATGGGGCCTCAAAGCCTTGCATGTTGGCTTAACTTGCCGCTACAAGGTAGAATTTTCCTACAATAATCACAAGTTGTATGCCAACGTATATAATGCTTACTTCAAAGTTATTTAAAATACAAACCAAATTCTAGAGTTACCTTGTGACACACGCAACAAATTAGAAGACATTTCTAATACGGAGTGCAATATTCTAAAATCCGGAGCAGATCCTTCCCAACCAGCTAGTGCATATTGAAAAATCATGAGGATACAACAACCATCACATTTTGAGATATTTGACTCTTCTTGTTGCGAAATCGAGGATGAATATGTGATTTAACTGAAAATAGAACAAGGTGATCTAGCACGGCATATACAAATTTTAATTTTTATTTCTTACACCGACTAGAACACTTACAATGATTCAATTATAATAAATACAACTCGAAAAATAATAATAAATCAATTCTTGCTTGTTGCCTCTAATTACAACTTTCTTTATTGAATAACAAAAGACAATTTAAAGTTATGGGAAAAAGAAATTACAAAAGATAATTGGACTGCAAAACATAAAAGTAAAGATGCTAAAAGATTACCTCAATCGCATTTAAAACACCCCATACCAAGTCTCATCCTCTAATGGTGCATGGGATCAATGGTCTTTTTTGGATCTTCCAAATATGAGAAAGCCTGCCTAAATCCCTTCACAAAACTATGAGAGCAAGATACTATATGGATCAAGCCTAGCCGTCAATGCCTTAGGCAATTTCTAATGAGTGGGCACACCCACCTTTTGATCTCTTATGGGGGGGCATGCCCCCCATCTCTCTTTAGAAAGATGAGACCTTGAGTCGAGAGACAGAGAGTCTCAATGGTGGCGTGCCACCCTATGAGAGTACATACACACACACACAACATATTTTGTGCAGAGAATGAGAGGTAAGGAGGTCCCTATTTATAGACTTCTCAAGGGAGTCAGGGTTTCATTGGGAATAGCCAATCTATTAATTGATCAAGTCCTATTGATCTTAGGAGACCTGTGGAGGACGAGATCTGAGTCATTCATTCCTTAGATCAACTATCACGATTCAAAGGATGATACAAAACCTTGTCTTTCAATTTATTAAAATTTTATGCCATTAAAAATAAAATATGAAAAATATCTATTTTTGTATAAACTTATTCCTTTTAGAAGTCTTAATCTCCTTAGGATTCCGTAAGGCATATCTTATTTATTTATATTCCTTTTAGAAGTCATAATTTCCTTAGGATTCCATAAAGTATGTCTTATTCTTAATTGACTTGGTCAACATGACATGATCTAAATTTAAAAATATTATCCAAAAACAAAAAAGAAGCCCACGATAAAAAGGATTTCCAACAAAAGTGGGGTGTGCCACCTAGGGCCCCCTAGTGAGCCCCACACACATCCCTAGTGGGGTCGTCTTGGGCCCCCCATAGGCCCACAAAAAATAATATGAATTTTAAAAATATAAAATTAATTTTTAGTATTTGATAGATAGACTATTTTATCTGATTATTTTAAAACTGAAAATTGTATATTTCTCAATTTATAAATTTGTTTTA